TTCTTGTGTTTGCCAATAATAAAGTATAAGGAATAGTTTGCGGAAAGGGTGTTGAATTTGGTGCCTTTTTATAGGACAGAAAACGGGGTAAAAGGGTCTTAACAATCAAATTGGATCAAATAATGCAAATTTGAGAAAAGTCAGACAAATTACGCAAATTGAAGAAATGCCAACAAGAAACGGAAGAAAGGCCGCCTAATGGATAAAAAGGCACGAGTACAAAGTCCAATTTTTCTTTAGGTTAACACCCCCCCCCCCCCCCCCCCCCCCCCTTTTCCTCAACTCAAAAAACTCTTAATTTAATTCTTACTGTTTATCATTTGACCCAACTTGATTCTTCCATTAAAAATTCATTGACGTGTCCTATTAACTCATGGGAGCACAATGACATATCAAAATATTATGACACATCAAATGTATACATGAAAATAAGATGACATGGCAACATGACATGTCTCATATCTGTCCCAGCACCAAAAAAAAATAAAAAGAAAAAGTGAGACCCACCACTGCACAAACATACAACTTTCCTTTTCTTCCCATCCGAACAAAATAAAGCCCTTTGATTTCAATCACCCAATCTTCTTCTTCCTCAAGCACTTCTCTTTCTATCTCCTTTCCTTGTCTCTTCTCCATGGCAACCAAACTTGGTTGACTAGTGAAACTCATGTGACAGTTGGGTCTCTTCTTCGAGTGAGGCTTGGTGGTGCAAGGAAGGAGATCAAGATCTGGGTTCCTTCTATCATGCTAGCCTCACACAATAAGGGAACCTAAGATCTGGGTTCCCTTTGTTATGTGAATCTCACGCGAAGGAGAAGGCCAATTTTGGGTGTGAGGAAAGCTAGATCTAAGTTCCTTCTACACCCACATTTGTATTTGGGTTTTATTTTTCAAATCTTGATTGCTGCAATTTTGGGTATGAAAGCATTAAAATCTGAATGATAAGAATCGGAATTGCAATTTGGGTATTTATTTTGGATATTTATTTGATTTTGTAGAATCGAAAAGCATTAAATTTGGGAATCAAATAAATTTGGGTATTTATTTGATTTTTTTACTTTAATTTGAATTTAGAAAAAAAAGTGCAACCAGATTTGGGTTCAATTGAACCCAGGTGTGCTGGGTTCGGAAAGAACCCAGGTATGCTTATTTGATTTTGCAAAATTGGAAAGCATTAAATTTTGGAATCAAATAAATTTGGGTATTTATTTCATTTTTTTACTTTAATTTGAATTTAGAATGAAAAGTGCAACCCAAATTTGAGCTCTTTCTGAACCAGGTGTGTTGGGTTCAATTGAACCCAAGATGTGTTAGGTTTAGAAGGTTTTAGGGTTTGCAGAAGGTGAATGGAAAGGAAGAGGAAGAAGAAAGGGAAAAAGAAAAAACAAAGGAAGAAAGAAAAAAAAAAAAAAAAAAAAAAAAAAAGGAATATTTTAATTTTTTTTGTTATGTCATTGTTTTTGCTATGCTGTAGCACTGTTTTAAAAATCAGATTTGATTGACCGGTTGAATCAGTCGAATTGACACCAAATAGTAGAAACATTTTGGGTGAGTATTTCAAACCATTTAGGAGGTTGAACTGCTTAAAACCACTCAAACCGATAAAAACCAATAACCTGTCCAACCGACCGAGCCAACCATTGAGAGGAAATTCTCCAAAATTTGTC